CTCTCTCTCTCTCTCTCTCTCTCTCTCTCTCTCTCTCTCTCTCTCTCTCTCTCTCTCTCTTTGTCTCGGTGCATCCTCAAAAGTGATACCGACCTTGAAGATAACCCAGCAGGACGATCCCGAGGACGAGCGAAAGCTGCCGACGCATCCTTCCGATACTGTCACGATGCTGCCAATGTGACGGACTTCACGAAACGATATCTTCGCGCAGGCGAGGCGAATACTGCTGGGGCCCTCGTCACTGAGGTACGACAGTCTTGCGGAAGTAAAGCAGAGATGGAGGGAGAAGAAGTATAAGAAGACCGAGGGAAGGCTCGAGGAAGAGCGTGCCGAAAGAGTCCGCGAGGCCAGGAGAGGAGGAAGTGCCCTCTTCGACCTCTATCGTCCTTCGAGGTCCACGAACGACTGAGGCGCACGAAGCGACGTCGGTCCGACTATAGCCTCCCCTTCCTACTTTCACGTGGCGTGCTCCCGTTTCCAGTGGAGGCACGGAATAGAGAGAGCCTCTCCATGGGCCATTTACCATTACCATCATTGTCAACGGCGACCGTCAAAAGAAGAGGAGGGCTACCGCCCGGTTGCGTGAGGTGGGGAAGAAACGTACCCTACCGACCCCTCTCCCGACTTCCTCCCGGCTTCCTTCTACTTCGTCACTTCTGGACGTACCGTGAAACGCATCGTTGAGTGCCGGGGAACACCGACTCGGCGTTTCTAGGTCAGCTTTTCCTCCTCCGTACCGTGAAACGTCCTTCTTCTGCTCCTCTTGTCGTTCTTCTTCGGCTACTTCTTCATCTTCCTTGATTTCTTCGATAGTTTCCGTTATCGCCCGTTCGGAAAAGAATCTCGCCCCACCACTCGCCGCGCGGTGGATTTTTTAAAGGCCAAAGATCTACCTCGCCCGCGGTCCTGACACAGATCGCGGATGATAACGAGGATTTGAGTACAGAGAACGAGATACAAGGACGAGAACGGGAGCCTCTCTTCGCGAGGTAGGCACGCGGCATTTGTGCCCACATCCAGTTTTCTGACCGAGAGAAGAAGAGGAACAGATCGGTCTCGGCGGAGATTCGCACTGTCGATCAAACACAATGTACGCGCACCGAACACAAAACTCCGCGCGACACTTTGTCACGTCCGACTTTTGAGATCGAAGCGATGAACCGCGTGCGCTAATCGTCGCACATCTGCCGCATGGATATTGGAACTGATAAGAAGCCCCCGAGAGTCATGACGGTGACGCAGACCGAGAAAGCCGCACCGATAATAAAACGGCAGAGTAGGTCGAGCGATGCGTGAGACCGAGTGAACGCGAGGCATGGACCCGAAGCACTAATTAATTGAAAGTACGGCATTTTCATGCCTCTCTCGGAGGGGGGGGGGAGAGAGGGGGAGGCGAGAAGCCGCTCTCGTCTCTTCGACCGATGGGTCGCGACGCGAGGGCCGCGCGTACGCAATTAGAGGCTACACTTTCTAATTGGACTGTCGCAAAAAATATCGAAGGATTTTCTTGCTAACGATAGCGACATTAGTCTCCTTTCCTACTTACATTCTGAGCACCTTACATTTCACGCGCGTGACGAATCCGCCGCGAATCCGACACTGCCGCCGCGCGATTGACATGTATTTCTGTCTTTTTGTTCTTTTCTCTCTCTCTCTCTCTCTCTCTCTCTCTCTCTCTCTCTCTCCCGAGAGAAATTCCGGAAAGAATTAAAACGCTGGAATGACTAGAAATTTAATGGTGCGATATTAACATTTTAAAAGAGGTTTAAAAGAGATAATTCAAAAAGATATTGTTAAAACTTTATCAAATCGTTATTACATTCTGTTTGATTATAATATAACAAGTTAAGGCCATTAGTATGCTTCATCAATCACTTTTGAAATTTTTGAATATTTTAGCGAGCCTATTATTATAGGCCTAAAATATTCAAAATATTCAAAAATTTCTAAAATATTCAAAAATTTCCAAAGTATAATATTTTCTTAGATTCGATGAAAACTAGTTGTTTCCAACTAGTGCGGGTAAAAGGGGGCGCACGATCGCCGATCGTTGCCACACGAAAGTATGGCAGTGACCCGCGGGAGGATATTTCTGGAGATAAATGCAGTTGCAACCGAACTCGTCTGGGCACATCGCGGGATCGGCGGGCGATCGTTCATCAACATCAACTGTCAGCGGTGGTGAATCGCAAAATGCTTGCGCATACACGTATATACGATATATATGCGAACGCGCAACATACGTCTGCGTTCTCCAATCCTTACCATTAACCCACTTGCGCCTTTAACGTCAATACTCGGTCTAAGGATAGCCGGCAGCTGTACGACCGATTTTCCACACTTTGTTCGCGCCTGCACCTGTAAAATCGAGAACGCGGGACCTGCAGATCTAATAGATCCAATATTTGTCTCGCGATCCTCGATCGGTTCGGCCGATCGAATCGATCTAACATCGAACGAACATTCGAGCCGGGACACGTTTCGTCACTCACGTTGCACGTGCGGAACGAACGGCTTTCAATTATGATCAGCTCTTTTGTTCGCCGAGCACGATGATGATATCTGATTGCTCGATTTACCCTTCTCATACTGCGTCTTCCGCAGTGTTTATGACGGCAAAAACGCGTGATACCCTATTCTCGCGAGCAATGAATTGCGTCTCGCACGATTTGCGTCGAAATCAATAAATTTTTGCTAAACCAAACGGCAAACAGTCCGGAGGAAGTTGACAAGCGGCTAAGCTAAGCGACACGTCCGAACGACGTAGCCGGCGAACCGGCGATATCTTTTGACAGGATTGAATTTGAATGGAGTCATTATCTTCCATAATAAACGGCTCAACCGCCGCCTAGCTACCTTTCTTATACCGAGAAGCCGCCTTACATGGCTAGCTAGCCGACTATCTTCTCTCGTCTCGGGGTCCGCTGCTTTTGTTCACAACCTAATTTTGTGATCAATTGCGATCGACCCTCTTCCGCCGTGGTTCTCATCTTCGCCATAACAGTCCTGAAGAGCCAGACTTTTTCAACTTTCACAGCGTATTTGGCAATAGTAAAATTCTAAAATTCTAAATTTCTAAAATTAAACTAAATATTATTGCATTATTATCTCATTCGCAATGTGACGAAAATGAGATTTTTGTGCCATCATTGTGAAAAAAAAGTTTCTTACAAGTTTCGATACAATTTTAGTATTAAGATTTTTGAAGTCGCTAAATCCGAATATGACATCAGAATTTTATAATTCAAAATAACGGATTCAATATGGGGCATCAAAATTTGAAAAAAATAATTGAACTGTGATTATAAATTTGATCTGCCATTTAGAATAACAAAATTCTGACATATTTTGATCCAGATTTCAACAATTTTGACGTATTCATAATCCATCTATTTTTCTAAATTTTGATGCGTCATATTGAATCTGCCATTTTGAATTTTTGAAATTTAGATGTTATATTTAGATTCAGGACAATCATTTTTATAAAAATTTCAATTATTTTTTCAAATTTTGATTCGCCATTTTGACTTTGGAAATTCTGACATTATATTCGGATTCAGCGACCTCAAAAACCATAAAACCAAGTTTCATACAAATCACAAAATTGTAAATCGACCTTTTTTAAATATGCATGTATGCTACATTACACACTTGTGGCACGTATTTTTTAACGCACATATGCTACATATACTACATGAGGATAAAATGTTTTTTAGAAGTGATTAACTGATTAATATCAATTTTTAGCAAATTTCTTAATTTTAACAGAACACCTGATCAGTTTCTAGTTAACTTTTTCCTATTTCTTATATTTCATGAAATTGATTTCTGGATAACTCAATTAAAAGTGTGTAACTTTTTATGTTCATTTAAAATTCAAAATAATTTGGGATAAATTATTTATTCAAAATTGTAGGATTCGTATATTATTTAGGGAGAGAAAAAGCAAAAAGGATAAATTCAGCGGTAATATTCTTTGCTTTTGGAACTTCAAAGTGTTAGCGGAAACGTCAAACAGTTTGCCACGTCCGAATTAACTGCGCAAATAGTATGCATACTTCGCAGAATCGAATAACCAGTTGGTATGTTTCTGAGCGTATCACGCAAATTATGCATTCTGCCTGGCAGAGCAATCAGGATGACTGAAAACTATTTCCGCGCTCTCAATATACAATATATATGTATATTTCAACCAGAAAGCTAATTTAATGATGCGAATAGGACAACGAGAGGAGTTAGCCTCTGCCAGAAAGTGTGATCCACTTTATTGGCACGTACACATGCACATGCACACGAGGTATCGTAAATTTATCGTAATATTATTTCGCTTATCGAACAAAGTCATTGGATGTTATTTTAATTTTGTGAACAGAATGCTTTAATAAGCAGGCTAAGCAGAAGGCATATCTAATCGCATTAGTACACCTCGAGATTGTACGACACAGTTGTTGCCCAAAGAGATCCCTAAGACTGCAGAAGTGAACGTTTCCGTAGAGTGCCTGGAGTCGTATAATGCTTCAATAAACACCAGATTCCGAGTAATCGACACGAGGAAATTACAACTTAACATTGATGTGATGTATCACGTAAATGGAATCGGATACTTGTTATCCGTATTACAACTCTAGCCGCAAGTTTCTAATCTAAAATATCTCATATCTCGCGACTATGGACTTATAGTTAAGACATGGCGTAGCGCATTTCACGATCAGGCCATTTACGATTTTCCGACTGTCCACCGGACACGCGGAAATTATTAGCTGCTCTAATTATACGGACATTGATAAAATGGCGTTATTGCCATGTTTATGTGCAGCGCATTACGTAGCCACGCGCGAGTTCGAGTCGAAGTTGATACCATAAAATGTTGCCGCGTTATCCCGGTCCAGAGTATGGGGTACCGTTAAACCAGATCGTCGTTAATTGATATCCATCTATAAATAGTTGAATAGAATTAAAAAATATACGCGCAATAATGCATTCACGCCTCTGGCACGCGAGCTCGAACGATTTGTTCGCGGATGATCCAATTTTCTTGCTCGATTTCAGGAGAGTCGAATCACGAATTTATTTTTCCGTTCCCGCAATAGTGACAGCAGCAGATAAGCATGTTAATATTTCGAGGTGAAAAGAAAGAAAGAGATCGAGGGATTAGAATTTGACAGACTGATTACTTAACGATTTATTACTTACAGCCGGTTTCAACGATATTGGTTAACCTTAACCAGCTGATCTAACTGCTTCCTGATCTCTCTCTTTCTCTCTCCAGTTCTGTTTCTACAAAAAGTTGAAAAAAAGTTGGGGTGATAGTCCAGTGCAAGAAAGGTATCGGTCGTTCGAGATGATATGAGGAGAAAATCTCTCGTCGCCTGGTATAAATAAAAAGTCGCAAATAAAAATATCGCGTCTTTTAAATTCCGCATGCGCACCGCATCCGGTTTCGTTGCGCGCGCACGCTCGTTCTTTCTGTCTCTTGAAACAACGTATCTCCCATGAGTACCGCAAAAGAAAATAAAACGCTCGCTGGGCATTGGGCAAGGAGTATCTTCTCTCGGCTCTCGGCGGGACGCGACAGATAAATAATACGGGATGACAGAAAAAAAGAGTCACGCGTGCATGGCAGCCTCCTCGCTTTCTCCTCCTTCTTCACGGAGTCGCGAATCTGCATGCATTAAATAAACTGACTTCTGACAACAAAGACAGTTCC